AAACAAACAAACAAACAAACAAACAAACAAACAAACAAACAAACAAACAAACAAACAAACAAACAAACAAACAAACAAACAAACAAACAAACAGCAATCGTAAAAAATGATATTTTAAAATTAGTCAAGTCAAAATAGCCAGAAAGAATCAAGATTCCAAAGAACTGTTAAACAACCAGTCTTTGACAAATAAAGGATTTTAAGCAGTTATTAATGTTATTCAAAAAGGGTTCTGGACAAATAAAACCTCGTGTCTAATTTTATCTGTACATACAATACCAGAGAATGGAAAGAAAAGATTGTACAGTATTCAGTCTCAGATCCCACTGAAACTGGATTAATCCATTGATACTCAGACAATAGAGATACCACGCTCAAAACATGGGTGTGATTGAAAAATAACTAGGCATCACCAGCTTAACAGTGAAATTGACTGCGTGCTTATCCATGACAGTTCAGGCTTTATACTAATGCGCATTCTAAAAAGCAATCTTGATTTGTCTGCCTTATGTCAGCAGGACCGCCTGAAGAGCACGGATACCTCAGCGCTCTGGAAGTCCGGTTCTGGGGCCACCTCCCTCTGTAAACACTGAGCCGTGGCGGTGCTCACAGAGTTTGCGGAGTTTTTGAAGGAATGGAAGGCATTGATGAGGTGGCTCAGAGGGACTGTGACCTGCAGGGGGAAAACACAGATCTAGTCACTGACAGAGAACTGTTTGATAGGTAAACAAACTGCCACCAACAATAGACTGTGCCCAAACCTAGGCAAGGCGATGCTATATTACATATGAATATTATATATTAATTATTTCTCATTTCACCTCTGACGGCCACGACCACTCTAATCTCTCCGTCTGTGTTCTCCAAGACTGTTTTCCGAACTCATACATCAGAAAGACCACCGAAACCAAACTTATTCTGCAGCTAGGATCACACATTCTCCCTTCTCTTAACGACAGACTACTGTTCTTTTAAATTTTCTCCATTCATTGGAAGTTTCATTTCACACCTCTCTGCACCCATTCTGACTTCACACCTCTTGATTGGCCTCTCTTTCTGTCCCCTGTTCCCGCCTCTCACTCCTCCTCCCTCCCAACCTTTGTTCTCCCGCTACTTTACCTTTGCCTACTGCCCTGTCTCTCTCACACCTGAAGAAGGCTCCACGGTTGTGTTCTCTTTCTTCTTTTTTTCAGCATGGAATAAACCTATTACTTGTTCCATTGCAGCCTAGCATGCTGACGCAGCTACCCACCTGAACTATATTACTGTGAACTATCATAATATCACAGCTGGAAGAGATCTGAAGGTTTTTTTTATTTAAAAGTCAAACCATATTTTTTGAACAAGTTCAAGATCCTTTGGTTTCCACTGAGCTTTCCATTAAGAAGCTGTAGGGCAGTGCCTAGCCTGCGTACTCGTCTAGGTAAAGTGATCATTTCTTTGAGGAGAAAAACCTCCCGCTGTGGTTCTTAATATATCATTTGTTTGCTGCGTTGAAAGATCAAACTCTCATAAAATAAAAACTGATAAATGGAACAAATAAAAAGCATTTCAGTTGGTCAGAGCGTGTCTGTCGTGAGGTTACAGCATTAGGTAACTGACTGTGCCTTTGGACTATGGTACTGTCATATGGAATCTTTCCCATATCCATGCTAAAATACTTGCACAATTTGTATAAAAAAGTAAATTTGGTAACAATATTGGGTCTTAATCATGAACAAAAATAAAAAAAATTGAAAATGCAGGAATCACAACTGGCAGTGTATCTACCTTATATTATTTCAATGTTTTCCTAACCTTTCAACGTTACTAATCTTATTAAGACCAAAAAACACCATATTTGCAATTAGACTCTAATACATATTATACTAAATACCACTATCCAGAAATATCAGAATTTTGATTCCCATAGACTGGTTATTTTTGTAATAAATAGAAAGTGATTTGTCTTGACAGACAAATGATTAAAGCATTTTTAACATTTAACAAAAGAAAACACAATAACAAATCAAACTTCTGTCGACTAATCCTACATTTGCTATAGCCTGCTCAATTTCATTATATTTTCAAATGGGTTCTAAATGTCTTAGATTTAACATTTATTATTAACTCAAGATCAAATAAATGTCATTATATGGAAAACTGTTATACATATTTAGGATTAGTGATGAATAGCTAAATCAAAATCAATGAGGATATAGAAGAGGCTGCAAAGGAGAGGAGGCCATTTCGCTCATCTAGCAATTTTGACGGCTAGTAGCTAAATTATTAACTGCCAGCAGCCATATCATCCTGCAACTCAGAACTGGCAGCCCACTGAAGCTCAGCGGGTGTGAGCCTGGTCAGTACCCGGAGGGGAGACTCCTGGGAAAAACAGGTTGCTGCCGGAAGGTGTTAGTTGGGCCAGCAGGGGGCGCTCACACTGTGGTCTGTGTGGGTCCTAATGCCTCAGTATAGTGACGGGGACACTATACAGTAAAAAAAGTGCCATTCTCTGGATAAGACGTAAAACCGAGGTCCTGAGTCTCTGTGGTGATTAAATATCCCAGGCCGGCTCTTGGAAAGAGTAGAGGTTTTACCCTGGTGTCCTGGCCAAATTCCCCCCTGGCTTTTACCAGTCATGGCCTCCTAATAATCCCCATGTATGAACTGGCTTCATCGCTCTGTTCTCTTCCCCACTGAGAGCTGGTGTGCTGTGAGCAGACTGGTGCATCATGCAGGTGGGGCTGCACATTGATGGTGGTGGAGGGGAGTAAGGAATTATCATCATTAAAGGATCTCAGACAGCCGTTACTCCAAAGAAGCCTGGGCATCGGCTCCATTCTAACAATCTATCCGTCCATTTCCTAACCACTTTATCCCACACAGGGTTGCGGGGAGCTGGAACCTCATCCAGTAAGCGATAGATGCAAAGCGGGGTACACCCTGGATAGGATGGGATGCCACTCCCACTCCAGACGGGGCAGACACAGACACAAACACACATACAAAGCATGGACAATTTTTACAGAAGGCAATTAGTCTCCCTGTATGTTTGTAGTCTAACGGAGGTAACCGGACGAAACGCTTGTGAACACAGAGAACACACAGGAACTCCAGCCAACTAGCACCTAGAATCCAACGATGTGAGGCAGCAATGTATACCACTATGCCACCAAGCTATTCCTATTCAAACAATTGGTGTAAAATGATGCCGTTCGCTGGCAGTTTTAAACACACTTCTGTGACGTTTTCAGTTGTGCCTTCTAGTTCAGGATGATTTTGAAGAAGCTCGCTTTGTTGAGTATTTCAACATCTTTGAGGATTTTGAATATCTGGATCTAGAAACCCACAGGTCTTTTTTTCTGATCAAGACCACAACAATCCTGGATAAAAGAACATGTCAGTGGAGGACATTCCTTTGATTCTAAGAATGTATTCAGTTGCTTTACATTCTCGGTTTCTCTTGTTTTTTGTAATATGCTCACAAAAGTGTACATCATGTTTTTGACAGGTTCTTACTAGTGCACAGTACAAACTGAATAACTCTGGTCTAGAGGATGAAAACGCACACCTAGGAATGAGCAGAAGCTAATCTCACAATATAAAAAAAGAAAGAAAAAACAGGTCAGCTGGATGCTGCCTCCTAATACGTTTTGACACCCATTTGTCATAATCTTAAAAAAAAAACATTCCACTGCCAACATTTCCTCATGCTGAAGGACCTCTACACTTGGACATCTTTATAGAGATCTACCTGGCATTCAACCAGTGTCCTCAGAATACAAACACATGCCTTTTTGATAAGACACTCCTTCTGTACTCCAAACTAGGGAAACAACTTGCAGTTAACGTAATATAGATAAGCCTAGATTCTTTAGAACCTAGATCATTCAAAGAACATTTGTAGTTTCTGCACAGCTTCTTCACTACTAACAGCCTACATTTAGAAATCGTCCTTTAACTTGACTGTTTTGTATTAATCAGCATACAGCTAATAAATATCTTTATGCACAATATTGAAATGTACACATATAAGCGTCATCTTCTGGAATAGGCCAATAGGCTAGGTAACTTGGCGTCCTGCATTTTGAATTCTGCAGTGTATACAGGAATATGGCTCCAGCAGTGTAATTTCAGTTGTCAGCCGCAACGCTGCGGCACTATTGTACTGTACTTGAACATTAAGGGTGACTGTACGACTTCCTTTCACTTAGTCTAACAATGTTTACACTGCGATATATATTTAACAAAAGCCTGATAAAATCCCTGTTGAGCACTTGATGACATTTTCGTAGATGCTTAACCATATAAAACGTAATAAATATCAGAAATATTTTTGTTGGAAAAATACATTTTTAGACAAAATACATCAGAAACCGGAAAGAAATAATGACGGGTATGAGAGCTGGCATATATTTTGGGTCAATTTATCCTCAACATAACAGTTAAAGACAAGGGTTGAATCTTTAATGTCAAGCTTAGTTTTTTTAATAAGCTTTTTTGTCTTATAGTTTAGTTTTTTAATAAGCTTTTTTGTCTTATAGTTTCAGTAACTTTTCTCGATTCCAAAACCACGCTTAGGTGGGTGAACATAACATTCAGGCAGTGCGCAAACTTAAGATAAATTAAATCAACAAAACATACCCGCTGACCATAATTCGTTTGGTTTTATCTAGAAATGTCTTTAGACAAGACAATGTAACTAATACACACATTTATCTCAGGGGCCGACGACTGGTTATGAGTGAAGAGCTTTTATCACAGCTAAGTTGCCATTTTCATTCGTCAAAACCGCTCGCTCATTCTTACCTGTGGCTGGACCGTAGTTGAAAAAGTAAACATTTCCAGTACTATAATAAATTAAATGTTTACAGCTATGCTTCAATATTGATTAACCTAAATATAATCCCGTCCACTTTTGTCCTTTTCCTCCTCTGAAGAAACTCCTCTGCAGTAGCCAACACCGTATTATGAAATTGAAAATGGCTTCTACCAAAGGTCAACCGGAAATTCCCCTTTGTCGTTGTAAAGCGATCACTGCCGGGTCACATCTCATTACATTATAGGGCTGTCTTTTTTTTCCATAGGAGATTTGTCATTTTGGGAAGAAGCTTTGTGATTATGCTCTGCTTAACTTAACATGTAAATATGTAGTATGATATTATGAGAATGATTTACATAATGACATAATTTATTGTAAACTTTTTGTTAGTACTTGCTAAATATAATTTCCATAAGTCAACATTCTCAGATATAAACCCTAAGTGGCCTGTAACTTCTTCAAACAAATGTGCATTTAGAAAGGCTTAATTGCTATGAAATATTACAAAATAATTTAAAGGCAAACCATTTACCATCTTATGATCTCTGTATGTTACCCTTACGCTTTTTTTTCCATTTTAAAAAATAATTCTATAAATGATGTAAATTAAAGTTTAAGACATATTTTGCCCATAACCTGATTCATTTTTATGAATGATTCATTTTATTATTAATTCATAATATAATTGTATATATAATTTATAAGAACATTTATAAGAACGATTTTACATAATTTCCACTTGCTTCCTTTGGTTTTCGTGTCCCTGTTCATTTTGAAGAAAATACTGAAAAAAGAAAAGAAATGAAAAAGAAGTACACTGGGTTGACTTTGGCAGTGGGTTTTAAGTTTTTCAACACTTGAATCAGGACCTGTAATAATAATAATAATAAACTTTATTTTATATAGCGCCTTTAAAGGTGGCTTCTCAAAGCGCTTTACAGGATGACAATAACAATAAATAAGAAGACTACAACAATAAATAAGAAAATTTCACAAGACAGGACATAATTATAATTACAACAATAACAATAGAGGAGACCGTGGAAGATGGTATTAAGAAGAGCAGAGGGGTGAAGAATGGAACCAGTTAAGTAAAGGCTTTACTGAAGAAGAAAGTTTTGAGTCTGGATTTGAAGGAGTTTAGAGAAGGTGACTCTCTAATATCCTTGGGTAAAGAGTTCCAGAGCTTGGGGGCATAGCAGGAGAAGGCCCTGTCGCCCATACAATGTAGACGGGCTTGGGGGACAGTAAGGAGGGCAGAATTTGAAGAGCGGAGGTTGCGAGGTGGGGAGTAGGGCGATAAAAGTTCAGACAGGTATTGAGGTGCCAAGCCATGTAAAGCCTTGTAGGTGAGCATGAGGATTTTAAAGTCTACGCGGAATTTGACCGGAAGCCAGTGCAAGGACTCCAGGATAGGAGTAATGTGAACACTTGTACTAGACCTGGTCAGAATTCTGGCTGCTGAATTTTGGACATACTGCAGCTTGTTCAGAGTAGATTTAGATACACCAGGGAGCAGAGCATTGCAGTAGTCAATTCGAGAGAATACAAATATGTTGATCAGCTTTTCAGCCACAGTTAATGATAGCATAGGGCGTAGTCTTGCGATATTTCTAAGGTGAAAAAAAGATGTTTTGACAGTATGCTGTACATGTGGGTCGAATGTTAAGCCAGAATCGAATATAACCCCAAGGTTTTTCAATTTTGATTGAAGCTCAAGTACAGAGCCATCTACAGACAGGGTTACAGGACTGGCTTTACGAAGTTGATGGGGGGTACCAATAAGCATGACTTCAGTCTTGTCACAGTTAAGATGAAGGAAGTTTTGAGTCATCCAAATTTTTATGTCAGAGATGCAATTAGATAGGATAGAGACAGCCACGTCAGTGTCGGGTTTGGTATGGATGTATATTTGAGTATCGTCAGCGTAAAAATGAAAGCTGAGGCCATGTGATCTTAAAAGCTCAAGTACATCTTAAAAGAAGTACTGTAAACTTCTTTTAGTCAGTGGAGGACTCCCTTAAACCCAGGAATGTTCGTCTCCGGATACTTTCAGAGCAGCAATATATTTTCTATAATGTGGTGATCGAAATTGTGCAAAAACGTCTGATACTAGAGCTTTGTATTTTATTCTTTAACGAAATATCCTAATGTAACCTTTTAATTGCTTCCCCACTCCGTCTAGAATGCGTTACCCTAAACACGTAAGCCTTTTTAACAACTAGTCTCCTCTAGCTCAGCGTGTCCTGTTTTGTATTATGTTTTTAATACCTGCACTCAAAGCCCATTATACGTCTACATTAAACACCATTGGACAAGTGTTTGTCCAGTCTTGAATTTCATCTAAATCTTTCTGGGTTACACCTGAGCGCCGCCGAGTGTATTGTGGGAATAGTTGGTCCAAACTCTCTCGGGTCTCTGCGCCAATCCTTTATTTACCCATCACCATACGGTACAAAGTGCGTTTTAAAATGTGTTCAATTAACTTGGATCCCTAAACACAAACCGAACAAGATTTCGGAGGCATAGTTTTAGAGATTTTCAAGAACTTTAAACTGTGTAAAAAGAGGTGAGCGTTATACTTTGCGATTAAATGGAAAAACAGGGGCCACTGTACAAACATCAATTTTTAAAGTTAACACAGAAGTTAAAATGTTTTTCATTGTGGCCGAAATAATACTACGGATAATGTTTGCTATTTTATACTGCACTGTCCAAACAAGGGGAAAAAAACGTAAGGAATAAATCTGGGTTTTCTGTACTCAGAACAGAACTGAGTTAAAAACAAACACTTCAGGCATAACGTTGAGCAAGTTTTCATGCGCTAATGCGCATGCTCCCAAAGTCTGACTTATTTCTGCCTGTCTCATTTCGCATAACTAGCTAATACTGCCATATCTTAAGATGAAGAGGAACACACATTTCCAAAATAGCATACTTATAAAACAGATATATGTGCTTCTAATCTTTGTTGTGATGTTCTTAAATATGGAAGTGGTTTTTTAAATTGTATTTTGTAAAGGCAGGCACAGGCCACAATACAAAGGACCTCAACGCGGAGCGGTTTTCAAATTTTCATAACAAGGCTAGATGGGTGTTGATGTTGTGGGTAGATTTTCTCTGATGTTTTTTTATTTCGTGTAAGACGTTTGAAAAGTCCTGAAGTATTTAAAAATATTTTATTGTTATTGCTATTCTGGATTTACTTTGATGACTCTGTGGTCGAGGTAGTGTTATCAGGTTCTGTATTCGTATTTAAAGGTCGAAATTTCCCTCGCCAAAGGCGCGATGGATGGAGAAGAAAAAACCCACAACTTGAATCTTACCAAAATGACAGAGGCACCTGAAGTGCCCAGACCTCCATCGGTTCACGACTTCTTGGTTTTAAAGCCGATCAGCCGCGGTGCCTTTGGAAAAGTGTACCTAGCACGGAAGAAAAGCAACTCTAAACTGTACGCAATCAAGGTATGACCATTGTTTATCATGCCCTGGTTACTTAAAGGAACCCGTAGAACTACAGTGTTAGATTCCATAAAAAAGCATATAACTACAGCAGACGTTTCTCGTAAAAATAATTTGATTTTTAAGTGTATATTGTGAATGTTCGGATTTTAATTCAGCAGAGTACTAAGGGAAAAGTGTTTCCCATTGTGTAAATAGCAATTTTAATATATTTTTTTATTATTTTGCTAAAAATCCACCAAAAATGTACATTCCTGCAGTGGAGTGTAAGCAGAACTGTGGAATATAGTTCTACAAAGGAATTGTGGATAATTTTTGCAGCACCTTTATTTGCAAAGTTGCTGTCGCGAGTCGTTATTGACCTTCATACAGTTTGTGTTTAAAATTGAGCTTTTATTTTAATACTTCATTAAAAAGTATATTTTGGTAGGGTGTTGTAAAGTTTTGCAATCAGGTCGCGTATGTTAACTACCCAGCGGTACGGATTTGTACAAATGTAAGTTGGATAAAATTCAGTCAAATAAAAAATAATAACTCAGTTCATTTCAAAATTCTTTATTTATTCCCAGGGGGGCAATTTGCGATACATTTGAGAAAACTAAAAACTCTTCCATATCCTTAGCCATGCAATACAGTAAACATTCAGTTTAATGGACATTTGTGAAGATCTTTATCATTCGTAATTTGTCTGCTTTGTTTTTTCAAGGTGGTGAAGAAAGCTGATATGGTGAATAAGAACATGATAGACCAAGTAAAGGCAGAGAGAGATGCACTGGCTCTGAGCAAAAGCCCCTTCATTGTGCACTTGTACTATTCCCTGCAGACTGCCAGTAATATATATCTGGTAAGCATGCTCACATAGCCTTGCTCCAACGTAGCTGAAAAGGATAGATAGATACTTTATTGATCCCGTGAGGGAAATTGCAGTGCAACAGCAGCTTAACATAGAAAAGCTGCTTTCTAAGCTTGGCTTTAAAAAAAAAAATCAAACTGTTGGTTGTCTTGTTAGATTTCCATTTGGCCATTTCTTTTCAACATTCTTTTCTTTTCAACATTTCTTTTGAAACATTTATCAATCCTTTTTTACGATTTTTTTCAGCGTATCTGGGGCGTTTTTTTTTTTGTAACTGCCCATTTGTGCAATTCATGGATTTTGGCTTTGCCTCTCTTAATTTCTTATTCTGTGCCTGCAGGCATCTGGTCGGATATAAATGCCAAAACCTCGTTTTATCACCCAAATTTCTATTCTGTGACACTCATTGTTGAATCATCCTCTGTTACAGAGAGGTGTATTCTCATAATGTTTGCCAACAAAAGTTGTAACCCACAACTAGTTAAGTGTGTTTGATTGTGAGTTCCATCAGTGCTTTCACAGTGTGTTCGAATTTGTCTCGCCCCAGGTGATGGAGTACCTCATTGGGGGGGATGTCAAGTCCCTTCTTCATGTGTATGGCTACTTTGATGAGGGCATGTCGGTAAAGTACATTTCAGAAGTCGCTCTTGCCTTGGACTATCTTCACAGACATGGGATCATCCACAGGTAGCTCAGTTGATTTCACACCCTCTGCATTATTGGGAGGGACTGGGGAATTATCTCATTTTTTTTTCTTTCTAAACACGCTGTCTGCCTTTTCCAATTTTTTTTTTTTGGAACAGAGACCTGAAGCCAGATAACATGCTTGTGTCCAATGAAGGTCATATCAAGCTGACTGACTTTGGCCTTTCCAAGGTTAACCTCAATCGAGGTGGGTCCACAAACGATGTTGCTGAATAGTTTCAATGTGTTTAAAGAAGGAAGTTCGCTTCATTTCAAAAACGTTTATTGGGGTGGGGGGGTATTTTTGTTTTATTACATCTTATATGTTTGCAGGGCTTTCGTAGTTAAGATATTTTTCTATGTTCTTTTGCCAGTTATATTTGGAATGATGCCATATATTTTTTCTTCATAGAATTAAACATGATGGATATCCTGATGACACCTTCCATAGAGAAGCAGAAACAGGATTATTTCCGTACTCCTGGTCAAGTTTTGTCTCTGATAAGCTCCCTTGGTCTTGTAAGTAACACAAAGAAAAAATGTAAATGTTTTGCAAGTCACAGGAATAAATTAATTGTTTACATTATAAATGTAATACATTTCTTGGTTATTTTTTAAAAATTTTAAAATTTATAACATCGAGAGCATTGGTGACTGGGAAGATAAACAGTAAATAAGTATGTGTCGCCTGTTTTGTGATCCTGTAATTTTGTAATCTTGACTATTTAGTAAACATAATTGATCTCCTCTTTGATGGCAAAACTAATGCTGTGAAGTCCAGATTTTGGTGGCTGTATGAACATCTTCAGCACCCTTCAAGACATAAGGAACACCTGTACTTTGCACTTAGGTTATAAAAACTTGGACTGGTGCCCTGTAGTTTTTGTTTGCTTGTCAACTATTGATGGTATTTTAAAAGCACAAAAAGCTTGGACCGCTAATTTATTGCATTTAAGACTTGAAAGATTTTAAAATGTCTGTTTACTGGTACTCTTGTATGTTTTGTTTATCTTATCGTAAGAATTGCAGTAATTTGCCAGTCTGGCAATGAGCATACTGTCGTCTGTATTTACACTACACGTAAAAATTAACAATCGCAAATAAAACGACTTTATAATATTACTGAAGCGAAGCTTGTGATAGTTGTTGGTTATAGGCTAATTCACGTGCAGTCCCTTGCAATCATTCGTCACAATATTTTTTTTAACGGACGTTAGAAAGAATAGATTTGAACTAAAATGCTGCCTTGAACCAACACACGATTTTGATTGTAACTGCTAGAGGAATTAATTAAAACCATACACTCTCATATAACCATGGTTTAATCATGTCTAATGTTTAATTCAAGCGTATTGCAGTGTAAAACCATACGGGAGAAAATGTGTAATATGTAAAAATGTAATGTGTAACACAAGCTTTACTTTTTTTTTATTTCTCATAGAAAACGCCAATGGAAGGCAAACAGCCGAATTCAGCCTCGGCATTTGCCAGCCCCATGTCCTGTGAGAAAGTGCAGCGTTTCCGAGGGACTCTGTACTCGCCTTTGATGACCAGAAGGAGAGAACTGCTGCTTAACTCTCCCGTTTGCAGCAGCAGCGCTACCCGTGCTTCCTGTAAGTGGCGCGGACGGACGTGTTTTCACTCTCATCGTGCTTTTCCAGGTCTCCGGTATGAAATCCGTTTTAAATCCGAAACCATTTGAAAATGGATCCATTGGTGTCTTTCCCACTATGAAGTGCCACATCAGTCTTCACCTCGGCGTTGAATTTCGCAGTGAATTGGATTGACAGAACGTGCCAGGCAGTTGCTGTTGAAAATAGTGAGGCACGATGTGATGAGAATTACATTGCACAAAAGATAACGTAGCCGTTCCCGGAGGGGATGATAAAAAGTGAAGGTTAAAAAAGTCAAGGTAATCCATAATAATAACAACACCCTGAAAGGCCATTTTCTGTAGAATACATTGTCTTGGGTAGTGTAGAGAATAAATCCTCTTTCCACTGATGTGAAGACATTAAATTGGACAGCAGTAAAGTGCATATTGTCACAGAAAGATGCTTACCATAATTCAGAAAATGCTTTACTTCTAACTAATGATTTCTGAACTGGCGCAGTGGTTAGCATTGCTGCCTTGTAGAGCTGGGGCCCTGGGTCCAATTGCTGGGGTGCTGTCTGCGTGGAGTTCGTGCCGTATGTTCCCCCTGTGTTCGCCTGGGTTTCTTCTAGGTGTTCCAGTTTCCTCCCACACTCTAAAGACCGACTGGTAGGTTAATTAGGTTCTGGTAAAACTGGCCCTGGTGTGTGTTCGTGTCTGTGTGTGCCCTGCAATGGACTGATCTCCCTCCCAGTGTGTGTCCTAGCCTGCACCTGTAGCATGCTGGGATAGGCATCGGCTCCCTTGCAGCCCTGTACTGGATAAAGTGTTAAAAATTGGATGGGTGGATTTTTTAAATGGTATCGGTGTTATAAAAGGGGGTTGTTCATGTTTCTCCTCTTCTACAACTACAGAAAAAGGGTTCCAGGACTTGCTGTCACATTAACGGATGCGTTTCATAAGCTTTACTCGTTTTCTGCGTTTGGCTGAATATTTGGTAGCAGCTGCTAGTTCTAATTCTTGATGAACTCATGACAGTCGAGATCATACCAAAGCTAAACCGCACAAAGTGCCAAATGTCTCATCCAAACAAGCATTTCTTGGCTTTTGTTTTGTTTCTGTCCTTCTACATCTCAGGCCTTGAGAGTATGGCAGCTAGCCCTGGCGTTCCAGTGAGGTGTCTGACTCCCAGGTTGTTGAAGTCGAGGAACAGGATTGAGACCTCCAGTGCCAGCAACCAGTCTTATATTTTCCCCTCCAGCACAGAGTCTGACAACTGTGTCAGCCCTCAGTGGGAGACTGAACGGCAGGTCAGTGACGCACCTCCGAAAGACAAAACCTACACCGGGATGTTGTGGCTCGACAGATGAAATATTGTAGCTCTCCTTTCTATTGTTCTTGTTTTCTTGAATCTCTTTATGATTATTAGTGTTGCTTTTAGTAATCGTTTGTAGGATAAAATAGGATGGATGAAAGTCTCAAATGAAGCATTACATGCTCTAACGTATTGATAAAATATAGAATTAGAATTGAAAGAATCTATAGTCTAAAACACTTCACTATTTTACATAATGTAGCTGGTTTAATTTAGAATTAATGAAGTCCAAGAATAACAATATGATTGTGTTGAGAGAATGCGTTTTACATATGAGTTTTGTTTAATTTGAGTAGTAGTAGTGAATGCATATTGAGAATGTCACAATATTTGCTGGACTTCAGATAACGTGTAGCTGAATGTTGCTAGTAGCATTATACTGCCTGAAGCTAAAAACCTGAATAAATTCAAGTCATCCAGCTTCATTTCAACTGTACTTACGATCTGCAAAACATTATTTCCTGATACAAGAATGCTATTAAATTAAAGGGGAACTGCGGTCCCAATTTCTCAGACCAGTTATTAAATCTAGATAACAAAATAAATTCATTGATATTATAGAATACATTTACACATTTCAAATTAAGCACCAAATTGTGAACTTTGTGAAAGTACCGTAAGTCCCCATGTCCGCATTCGAGTTCCCACGGATTGTGACTTGATGTTGCCCTTCCCGTTCACTAGTCACAGTGATGACTAATGTAATGTGATGTACGAGCGAATCAATACAGGTTGTGCACAGCAGAAATGTCCTAATGTGATCTGCATGCAGAATTTACAAGTAGTATTGGTAAAACTCGGAGCAATATTTCTAATGGATTAAAAGAGATGTATTCACAAACCTGCTTCTTTACAATGTAATAAGGCCAATTCACGTCACCAGAAGTTTTGTTGCCTCGTTCTGAATCCCAGAATATGGCTCTGTGCATACCTAGAAATATTTTGTAATGTAAATTTAAGATTTTACATGTTACTGTGTATGTTTTCCTTTTATTGTGGTTTGAAATGAACTCATCAAAGCTGATTCTTTCTAACCCTGAAATATGAAAATAACATTGCAGTTCCCCTTTAAGGAAATTAGTATTAAATTAGTCAAGTAATTAGTCTTGCAAATAGGACACAGCGTCCTTTGTCTTACAAGTACATTTTAGAGATGGGGACTGAGTTATTCTGAACAATGATTTGTTTTCAAAGTATTTGGAAGATGTTACTGTTGATGCAAGATATAGCTTTGTAATATTAGTTAAGTTCCCGGAAAATACTTTTCCAGGAAGGAAAGGTAAAGAAAAGTATGATGAGACCAATAATCCATAGTTGTATTATTATTTTCTAGGAACTGGAAGGAAAAGAGAATTTTCGTTATCCAAAGGAAATCAGTGGGATCAACAAAACAGCACCAGTCAATTCTGCAAAGCTACAGGATGGACTTCCAATGAATAATTTCAGGAAACCAGGGCGGGATTCTGTTCTAGCTCCGATGGACAACTGGGAAAATCAAAGATCTCAAAGAGGAAGCAGAGAAACCGTTCCAAAAGAGTTATCCAGGAAGTATCTTTATGAAAGCGAGTTTACTGAAAGAAAGAAGTTGCAGTTCAATGAAAAGGATTCTTCCGCACCTGGTCCACAGAATCCCGAATCTCATGCCAAAACGCCAACTAAAGATGTTTCAGAAGTTACCGGGCTATTTTGTGTGCCAGCATCGGTGAGCAGCAAGGAAGAAGAAAGCCTTAGAGAGACGACAGCTGTGCCTACTGGAGCTGTAAAAAGATGTTTTGAGCAAGTGGACAGAAGTCCTCCTGATCACGCAGTTCAGGCCAAGAAGACCACTGCTGAATATAAGCGAGGTTTTCCAATATCCAAAAGCGAGACTAAGTTCAGCACAGGCTTAACAACGGCGTTTGCTCTTGTAATGCTTGAAGAGATCCGAAGTGGTCAAGATGCACCTGCAACTTCTAAAGAGGAGCCATCAGAGAGAACTAGTCCTGTTCCCATCGCTAAAAACCTGCTGTGTGAGCTCGATGAACAGTGCGGCAAGCATAACATCCTGGATGCTATGAACTCTAGTGTTTCCTCTGTGGAGGAGGATGACCGAGAGCTAAGGAGAAGTCTAAGCCTGGGTTCAGATTGCTCAGTTCCTGATACGTCTGTCACTGACAAAGAGAATGCCAAACTAGACAGCAGCACGAAAGATCTGCCATTTGGCAACGATCACAGGAAAGAGGACCCCCTATTAAACCAGCAGGAGCATTTATCAGGCACCAACAGACTGAAGCCTCTTAGTTCAACAGACCAGTCGATCCAGGGCAAAGAAACGGAGCTCTTTATTGATTCCCATCCTTTGCAATCATGCGGGACAAAACCAGCTCCTCTCCTTAAGCCTAAGAATATCGTGGCTTTCAGAAGTTACTGCAGCTCGATCAACAGGTCAAACGTGACGGAGAGCTCGCGAATGAGCCTGGGTTCCATGGATGCGATGGAGACCTCGTCGGCCTCCCTCCGAAATTATTCCCCAGCTGTAACGCCTGTGCAGAAGAGCAGAAGATCCAGCACTTTCAGTGCATATCAGGTAGAGTGTCAGGTAGAGAGTTCAGGCTTCCTGATTTGCATTGGCTAAGAATAAATGTGCAGCCTTAGGAGTTCGAAAGCAATTGGTTCAGTTAAAGCAAACGTTTCATATGTATCACAACTGCAAGCAACCTTACAGCAGTGTTTGAACAAGATCACTATGGCTGGTATTGTTTTCCAGTCTGAAATCAACATATGACCTTAAGAAGCCACTTTGTCTTCTGATTATTTAAGATGATGTTTCAGCAGGTTCAATTTAAATGTCCCTACAAAAAATTAAAAACTGATTGCTCTCAGCCCTTCATGAACAATCTTTAATTACTTTGTAGTTTTATTTTTTAATGAGTTTTATTTATGTCAAATTATTTCAAAGATAATGTATTGCATATAACAAGTGACCAAGGACAGTTCATTTTTTTTTAATCGAGAGGATTATAAAAATGTAGAGATTCTGTTAGTGGCATTTGAGTCATTTTTATTCTTAGGCTATACCTAAATGAAACTTTGTATATTTGCCTGTTTCTTTGTTAAAGCAGAAAAAGTCTGTTTCGTTAAAAAAAGTCTGTAGTCATTATAAAAAAGGAGGGGAAAGATTAGTTGCTACCCTGATCCAATTCTTCCCAATGCCTCAAGATTTCAAATTGAGAGGACCTCCGTAGATTCAACATAATGGAACTATTTATAATTTTATACATCTTTTTAATCGATTGAAATATGCGTTCATAAAAAGATTTTTAACTTCGTATCGCTTTCTTGTAGATGCTTTTAAATATTTTTAATGCTTTCAAATATTTACGTTGTATCACTTATCACAATACAATCACGCGATTGTGTGCCCCTGGTGTTGCAGACTCCCCAGCAGACCCCCCCTCAGACGCCATTCAGGACCCCCAAGAGTGTGCGCAGGGGGCCTGCTCCCGCGGCCGGGGAGCCCCTGCTCGGGACTCCAGACTATCTGGCTCCAGAATTGCTTTTAGGAAAGCTTCATGGTAAGAAACCCCTGACCTGCTTTTCCGAGTCTTCATAGCCTGGTCTCCCTGGCATCTGAACCAGAGGAATGCAGACCTGGTGACTGACAGTCTAGGCCAGGAAGACTCAACAGAAGAACGTCATCTTTGTCCACCAGGGTTTTGCAAAATACATTGGCCCTTTCTTATTGACAATACTCTGTCCAGATCTACAAGAAAGATTACAATTTGCCGAAGTTGCTCGTAAGATTTATTTTGCCTTTTTATAATGGTTCTTACATTGATTTCCCATTCTTAATGATCGGTGTTTGATCAGATTTGTAAATGTCTTAATACCCAGTAAAGGCTTTAGCTTTAAGCTTTCCAGCACTATTACAGTGAACTGCAGTGAGCTCCAGCTCTGAGCTGGACAAGCGCCTGGCTGCTAGTGTGACAACCCCTCCTCCTTGAATAATGGGGTGAGGTTTTCTTTGACCAGTTGTGCACTTACAGTGAAGTGGCATGATTCTGTTCATCTGTGTTTTCGCAGTTCTATCAGGTCAGAGACGCTAAGATAAAATGAATAGTGCATTTCTAAAGTGTTATACCTTATACCTCTTCCCAGAACTTGTGATGGTGAAAACATGTGCTAGAACATGGAATCTGAAGTCCAATGAGATTTCTGTAATGTTAGGTTTCTGTTTGTACCTTGCAAAAGGTGAATATCAGGTCCTAAATTCTCCTTTGTGGTACTCCTAACTGGTTTCGGAATCCATTACTCTCTGTAAAAACTCAAGCAGCAGTTCTGATCGGTTTGGAGGGAGGACAGGTGACAGCTGTCATGGCTATTAATGCAGGAGCGTGGGCACCTGGCAGAGGACAGCGCTCGCTGTGTGACAGCCTGAGGAATCCCTCGCCAGCTCAAAGCCACTCAGGCCTCGTGCAACTCTGCGCTCTCGGTTAGGGAATTTTTGTCACAGTCAGTTTATAACATTGTCTTGTGTATGAACCGACAGTAGTGAAGGCAGATGGGTGAAGGTAGCCCCTCTTCAGGAGACTGGGGAAAGAATCAGAGTCCAGGCTACCGAGGTGAAAGGATCATCAGGCCTTTGTTTCTGCTGGAGTTAAGGCACCCTACAGCCACATGAGAGGGAGAAAACGTTTTTCTTTCCTTTTCCTTCCTCTGCCCATTTCCCCTGGCAGAGCTGTCTTTACAGCCAGATATCAGAAGCTACAATTCTCATTCCCACTCTTCCGCCTCTCCCAGCAGCTGGATGACATTCCTTTCTCGCCTTCCTGTTATCAAAAACGTAATTTGTAGCTGCTTGCAGTCTCCACATTACATCAGAGTCACAAGGACATATTGAGAACAGAAGAAGCATTTTAAGTATAACTTTTTCTGAATGTGAGGTCATCAGTGCTTCAAGTAACCACTGGGTTACCCAGAACGTACGGGCATAAGGTTGCAAGTGTTATAATAACAATAATTTTGGGATTATCTTGTGTTACATATGGGGAAAAAATCTTCAATAGTAATGCTGTACTCAAACTGTGCTCCATACCAGCATTTTGACTGTTTTCCCCACTCAGTTGTTATGCATATGTACTGTAAACAGACATCGGAATATCCTTTTGAATGCTTCATTTTACCAAGCATTTTGTTTCTAAAATAACTTCATACCATTCTGCAAACTCCTAGATAAATCAAACAGACATAAGATTTTTATTAAGATATTGAACAAATTCCATTCTTATGGCCTGTATAACATTTATTTAATCCAGTCAGAGTTGTCTTTATTTTTTAACAAGGGCATGCTTGCACTGTCATTTAAATCATGCTTTTCTTTAGGTTTCAGGATTTCACCACTGTGGGAAGTGAGAGAGAATCCTGTTGATTTTTAAACCTTGATATTTCTGAGTTGCCACTGTGTCAGGGAAGTGGTGTTGATTTTCTAGGCTTTTCAGTTTTGGTCAGCAGATGAAACGTGGTACTATCAACATTTTTAAAAGGGATGAAGTGTCTATGCTGTCCTTGTAATTACTTTAACTGCTTGAAGTGCTGGACCTTTTATACTCAAGAGTGCATTTTTTTTTGGGATTAGGAAAAGATGCATTTTTTACGTTTGTTGTTCGTGCATAATTATTTTCCTAAATCTCTGTACTCTTTAATGGATCCTGTATTCAAAACCCTTCTGTGCTGAAATTCTTATTTCTACCTAGGTAATTTAAGCATCTAAGCATTTTTAAATATGGAGCCCAATGCCTTCATTGTTTTCAATGTCTCGTTTTCTAAAACTCTGTGGCGTATGTGCAAATATTTCATTTTTATTTTTATTTTCTCATGGATCATGACGCAAGTCAGTTTTGTATTTCACAGGATATCAAGCCCGACCTTTCCCAATTCTTTATTCTTAACTGAACAGTATTTACTTTCGTAGATTACATGGTAGACTGGTGGGCTCTGGGCGTGTGTCTCTTTGAGTTCCTGACCGGTGTGCCTCCATTTAATGACGAAACGCCACAGCAAGTGTTTCAGAACATACTTAATAGAGGTGAGTTTGCAGATGCCACTCTGCATTATTTAATGTACTTGTGCTGCTTGAGTTGCCTCTGTGAGAGGGATTACCTATAACCAGCCTGACATTTGCCAAGCATTTGCTGCCACGTATTTCATTGCTGTCTCACTTGCAGCAGTGTAGACACTCACTCTCATTAATGTACTTTGCAGACTTTTATTTGCTCTTCCATTCAGATTGCAGCACAAGTCATTGCAGGCCATTTCAGGTTGTGCAAGTGTAAGCCTGCCTTCAGTCGTGACTGAGTGGGACCTCTGCTGTTGATAGAACTGAGCAGCAGTGCACCTGCCAGTTCTCGTATAGTTTCAGTTTAAAGGGGAACTGTGGTCCCAGTTTCTCAGACTGTTTATTAAATCTCGGTAACAAAATAAATTAATTGATGGCATCGCAAAACTCTAGAAATTCGATACTACTTCGTGAAAGTACTGTGAGTCGCCATGTTGTCGCAAAACCCTGGTCTTGCCATGGTTGACCACGAGAGTTCACGTGAATTGCGACATGAAACGGCCCTTCCTGCTCACTAGTCACTGTAATGACTAATGCAGTGCGATGTAAGAGTGAATAAGTACAGGCTGTGCAGGAGACGACTTCACTGCAGATATGTTCCAATGTGATCTGCATGCAGAGTTAACAAGCAAGTTGTATCTGTCGACAAAACTGTCTTGAAGTCGAGACCAATATTTCTATTGGATTAAAAGAGAAATATTCACAGGCCTGCTTGTTTACAATGTAATGGCCACTTCACCATAGCAGAAGTTGTGCTGCCTCATTCTGAATCGCAGAACATGGCTCTGCGCATACCTGGAAATTGAGTCTATTGTGTGATTGTAAATTGGAGGTTTTACACCTAGCACTATGTGCATTTTACTTTCATGTGGTTTGAAAGGCACTCAACAATTCAGATTCTTTCTAACCCTGAAATATAAAAATAGCGTTGCAGTTCCTCTTTAATTATGAGTCGTGTAGGTAAGTCTTTCTGTGTGAGGATGATGTAGCCCTCAACAGGGCGCTCGCTGACTGTGCGCCAGGGCTAATTAAAACATTCGCCCATAGGGCAAAGGAAGTAGAAAGTATATAGTGTTACACTCATAAAATAAATACAAAAGATTGTCGGTTTTCTGTAGAAATGCAACAGATAAAGTGTATGACATGTTTTTTTGTTGCACACTGTCAGATATTCCTTGGCCAGAAGATGAGGAAGAACTGTCACCGAATTCAAGAAATGCCATTGAGATCCTTCTGACCATGGATATGACCAAAAGAGCAGGGCTGAAAGGTCAGAAGGGACAGCCTTTTCACCTCCATTACCTCCATTTAACAAACACTCATCTTAAACATGTTCAGTAGCCTTCAAATATTTGCTGCATTTGAACAACAGTGAAAGGAAAGTAGTTGCATAGACGATTGACTTGTCAACCTTTATACAGTAATGTGTATTTTAGAGGACAGAAAGACAAGGAATGAACAGTGTCACACTTGGCTCATTAGTCAGGTAATTGTGGTAGAGACACCGAAATGTGAGTTGATAAACAGTTGGGGGAGAGTTGGCCTTTATTTAAGGAACAGCATACGGGCCTTACTCTAGTGATCAAGACAAATTGAGGCTTCCCAGTTTCCACCAGTGTCAGTCCAAGACTACAGCCCGGAATGGACACTCTGAAAGTGTTATCAGAGATTTTGAAAAATTGACTTATAAAAGCAGTGCAGTATGGAGTCCACCAGGGACAAGACCAAAAACGTATGAAAGAGTGAAGTAGATTCATTCCCATCACAGATGTAGTCCACTGTGGACAGATTATTTTTTCTGTGTGAGCAAAAGACTTTTGACCTGAATAAGCCTACGTCCAGCACAGACTGAGGAGTATTGCATACGATCTAAATTGTCTTCCAAACTGTTAGGGGGAAGACTACTACCTTAAAACAGCGTTTCTGTTTTTCATGATTAAGAATTGTTACCTTATTATTTTTAATGTCTTTCAGAATTGAAACAACATCCACTTTTTGAGGGTTTGGTCTGGGACAATCTACAGAATCAACCCATGCCTTTCATTCCGCAGCCAGAAGATGAAACAGACACTGCCTACTTTGAAGCTCGAAATACTGCCCAGCATATTACGGTTTCTGGCTTTGGATTTTAGAATTATTAAAAAGACGTTTTTATTGCAGCCTCTTTCAAGGTCAGAAACATTAAAGTGCTTAGAAGCTGCTTTTTAAAATTATGTATTCAAAATGGGAAAGTGCAATTATTTACAATCTTAGAATTGTTGGTGTCTAACCTACTAATCACTGCAGTATTAATTAGAATATCATGATAATCTTTGGGGAGTCACATCAGGATTTACTTATTAAACTTAACCTTAAATGACACTAAACAAAACTATTTTAATCTGTGTGATAGTGCGCAGAGCAAGAGTCTTAAAATCATTTAATATATTTTTTTAACATTTCCCCCCTTAAACTTTTGTAGTTTCTTTATAAACAGACTGAAGCTGTTGTAGCTTCATTGTTATGTAATGAAGACAAAAACTGTCACATATCCCAATAATATTGTTAATCGGGTGGCAGAATGAGCACTACTGATTTCTAACCTGATCACTCTAAAGTACTCAGGGTGACTTAAAACTGCAATCTGTGATTCAAAACTGCAAAAAGTAGGTACCCGTGCACCACAAGAGGTCAGAAACAAACATTTTTTGTAAGTATTTAAGGTAAACATAGGACACACGGCAGGAAAACAATTCACAACTTCTGCTGGGCCTTAAAAACTTTAGAAATGGCTTTGTGAGAGCCACTGAAAAGTTATAGGAGATCTTGGCAAAAACCACACTACTCTGTTATCCCTTCCTATCAGTTTCACAGCCGGGAGACTGTCCTCACTGCCCAAAGGGGAGACTTCCTTAAGGTCAGTGCTGAGAAAGGAGCAGTGCTATCTAGCTGTCACATCCTCTGAAGACTGAACAGAACTCACTTTAGGAACACTCCCATTCAGAAGTGTTTTTATTTAAGATTTCTTTACCTGTGTTCTTAGATGTACTTTTACATAACTTTGTTTTCAGCAATTTGGGTATAAATGTTGTCAGACTATGTATTTGTTTGTGTTTGCTGTAATATTGAAAGTTGTAAAATTTCCACATTACTCGGGTTTGTTTTACTTCGTCTTGTTTGCACTGTTATGCATGTATGGAATTAATGTAATTTGTGTGGTAATGGTGGAAGAGACTGTTATAGTAATGATGGAAGATACTATTTTATGAAGATTGACATTAATCTGAGTGGGATCTGTAAGAGTGATTGAATTATGGCTTTGGGATTGTAAGTAACCTTTCATGAAAGTCTATGAAAAGTGCAGAGTCAAAATGTTTAATATATTAAAGCCTGCTTTCTTTTTGTAGTCCGTATCAATACAATTTTTCTTTTAGAGTGTTTAGTTGTTTTTTGTGTTTAGTCTGTAAAACCCAGTCTTGGATTTTGAGTATAGTTATGACCAACAGTAAACTGTTTTCTTAATAAATGTGTTCAAGGAAATCAAAAGAGAAAAGTGTTGAACAAAGAAATGTATAGATTGGTTACTCTTTGGCATTTTTTTTTACTTTGTTCATTTTCAAACTGAGTGTGGTGTTGGAAGATTTGCAGTGATGTGAAGATTGTCGGCCTCCACCTACCTCTCTGAAGTCCCAGAGAGCTCACAGGTGCCCAGGATGTTTCAGGCACTGCTCTGGGAGCCCCGTTCAACTCATTGCAACTCCCTGACATCGTGAACCAATTGTGTGCCATCACACGCTGAACACCAGTTCAACAGCTAGTGAAATGGATGAGGCTTGAACCCCTTCATTTCTGGATCATAGAGCTCACCCTGAGCTTGGAGTGAGTGCCATTACTGAATGGATTGTAAATCTAGAGGTAGTGCAACTGATTAAAATGTCCCAGACTGCGGATCGCATCTCCAAAATGTCACACTGCCAAAGTGGGGAAAAAATAAATAATCTCAGTGCAAACTGCTAAGGGAGGAAGGACATCTTCCGTATGTTCTGCAAGGAGAGGCTTTTGTATTGATCACCGCATCCCTTGAGCATACAACATTGTCTGTGTGGAAATGATCAAATCTGACTGGAAACAACCGAGGTCTCGGGGAAGTCGAGAGGGTGGCAGCTCCGTTGCGGACTGCTTTGTCCATTCTGGTCGGCTTAGCTGGAGCAGATCCCTCTGTGAGCCTGGGAGATTTTTAGAGGATGACTGAATGGCAGGTGCCTGCTGTATTGGGTAACAAGGGAAACAATGGATTGACTACATTCTGCGACGACTGAAATGAAACAAAATGTTTGGTTTTTCATATCAAATGAAAGATTGTGAAGAAGTAGGGTAAAGTAGTGGGTTCAGCAGTGCTTTACTATTGGTGACAGTTACAGGTAGGTTATGGAGATGAACGGTTTTTTTTTAAATCCTGCAATGCACCAAACGACTCTATACTGTACACTCAGAATCAGAAGAAACACTAATCAGAAGTAAACAGAGTGTGAGACAATAGCCCCAGTGTGATTGGAAGCGTTCCAGCAGGTCAGCATGTCAAGATGAGAATTTGACTGCTAGCAAACGAATGTCCAACTTGCTAGGCTCGAGCCCCAACAAACATATGTATAGATACAACATCAGGGGCTCCATGGGAAGAATTGAACAGAACCTTGCAAGACAGTAGGTTCAAACAGGTGCACAGCTTGTATTCCTTCTAATGGTGCAGCCTGAATCGGTGTGACAGCCAGAAATGTACATCCTGTCACAGGCTTAGGTACGTGAGAGTGGAGGGGTCTCTAAGAATGTAGACACAATGGGTTAATACCTAACTAGTACCAATATTTCTACTTCCTAGAGCTTCAGACCAAGGGATGTTTACTTTGTCATGCTGGATATGATAAACACTGATCAAAAGAATCTCCTCGTTTACCTTCATTAAGTGCTGGGTAAATGATTAATTGTCCATCAAGAGTCCAGAAAGACACCATATAAGCTCAGATTTAGACACAGAAAAGATGAAGAAGAGGAGAAAGAAAAGGGGCAGACCACAAGAGAGAACTGGGACAGGAGCAGACAGTACTTGAATCTTGTGCTAGGCAAGAGTCCCTACTCTGAACGCAAAGAATGTTTTCACAGAAGTGCAGGGCTTCTATTGGCTGTTTGACACATTTCGTGTAAATCTGGTCTGTAACTGGACTGCCTGTCTCACTGGCTTCCAGGACACTGGGTTAGATCACACTTTCACCTAGTCCAAGCCAGAGGTTTGTGGGGGGATTCATAGTGTAGAACCTTCTTCCGATGGCACAGAAAGTCCTGGGCGCCTCTTCCCTCAGTGTCCTCTCCGAGGCCACACCTCACCTCTGAGGAGCTGATCTTCAGACAAAGGTATACATAGCTAGTTGTGTGTTCCAACGTGTTGGTCATTATTCATAGTTCTATACATGCATTTTCTACGTTTAAAGTTTAAACGACAATCTTGAGATCTGACACATAACATAACAATACTGATATTTTGTGAAAACTTTATTCATGCTTCAGATAGTATTAACATTTTCATGCTGAAAGCTGTCCATTCGTGGCCAGAAAAAGAAACAAAACACTTAAAGCCTTATTAGTTTAAACTTCATAGAAAGGAAGTACAGTATTTTAACAAAAAGACGGCTCTAGAACTGTAAAACTAGTTCTGTTGCTAATGTATGCTTTACATTGAGATTAAATTAATAGAGGTTTTCTATATCCTTAGGTATACCAAGAGAATGCAATTAAAATATTGCACTTTATTTTACATCTCTACAGTCTGAACTGTACAGCTATTATCAACACTATTAGACAAGTTACATTAAAAAGAAAAATAATCAATAAATTATATTACGTAAATATAAGCTACAATTCAAATGGGGATGCACATTTAGAATTGTTGAAATCTAGACATAATCCTCTATAATCCACCATTCAGGACATTTATATGTATCCTTGGTTTTCAGTGCTGCAAACTTTTTTTTTTTAAGAGTAGGAAACAGAGGTATGATTCATTTAAATCTATATGCTCAAAATGTCTTAGTTAAGTGGATCTTCATCTTAACTTAGCCACCGAAGTTCGGTGTAGACGTATATCCACCAGGAAGATGTCAGAATTGAAAAACACGTAATGAAGGATGCATATGCAGCAGGAACTCATACACCATGTAGTGAAAAGCCAAGGAAGAGCACAGTCCTTCCAGGATGTTAGTCAACATGCTTCTGCTATCCACTGAAAATAATCAAAGAAACTCAACAATTGGCCTTGGACCTCTCTGTATATGATTCATCCTCTTTTATTCTGGCCCGTGATCTATTTTAGGCTACATGCGACCATCCTTTCACGGCCAGAACAAGAAACGCATCTACCTTCTAAAGCATTTGCATGTCTCTGTTAGGATCCCCGTAGAAAAGGCCCATTGATCAGGTCAAGAGGAGACAGAGACCATTGGAATGCAGAAAGGCTCAAGCAACAAACACAATGCATTACACAGGTATTTGGCAAGATCTACTTACTGAAAAGAACAGAGATATTAGTAGAAAACTGAGTAAAGCTTAGGATTCAAATGGGTATGTGAAAGAAAACTTTAAAATCAAGACTCAGTCATGAGCTACACATTAACAGATGTTTTCGTTTTACTCTCATACACAACAAGCACACAGGGGTAATTGAGAAACGTCTGTTAATATAGCCATGACTTTGGGATGTGGGAGGAAACCCGCAGAAACACAGCCCAGTCTGTATCTAAAACAGAACTCGAGAGCTGTGAGACAGCAGCAATAAGCCCCAGTTTAACTGTGCCATTAAACTGTTAAACTGTTAATTGTTTTGTTTAGTTTACTAGCTGTTTTAGTCTTTCTGTACGTCTTCACATTTATCAATAAATTAATATCAACAGCTTTTCAGATTGAGGGGAGAGTTAAGAGCAGCAGCTACATAGATAAATGATATGCAAAAAACTAGCCATTAGCTGTTTGTCCAATCAGAATACAAGAGGAGAGTGAACCCTCTAACAGCTCCTCACTCCAGCTTTTAGCTCTCATGAAGTTGCCAGTCATGTACCAGTCTTTCACAAGGGTGAAACAATGATGGCTATTTTGACTTCATGTGTATATATCGGTATGCATCACGCACACATCCATTCTTTACGATCACATTAGAGGGTGGAGTAGTGGATTACCCCAGCTGCACTGCCATCAGTGCACGCCCAGACAGTAACAATACAATTAACCATCCTGATAGAAATTTCTTAACTACACCTAATGCATCCAAAGTTAATCAGATGCTGCCATCATACGCTCATAGTGACCCTTCCTATATCTTTAACTTTAGCATTCTTTGAGGTAAATTAATAAGTCATTATTGGTGATTAATACAGATATATAATCACCCAATTTAATTGAATCAACTTAATCAAACATATTTGACCACAGTATTGAACCTCATATATACTATAACCAGAGCTGAATAAAAGAGGATGATCTGTGGCTTCCACTGCAGTACAGCCACACAGCAGAGAGCTACAGGAAAGTTCATGATCAATTTTAAAAAAATAAAACCTTTAACAATGGAATTTAATCAAAATGCCCTTTACATCCGACAAAGGAGACATAATTCTGCCAGCATGCTTCCAAGTGATAATTGTACGTTTCAACTTAAAATATTTTTAAAATAAACAAAAACCGTTTACTACATTAAAACCATTACATACAATTAAACCCCACACAGCCAAGTTCGTACCTTCACGTTAGTCATGTGCGGTATTTGACCAATGAAAGATTATTGTATTTTTACCAGTCATCACATTAAGAGCTTGCATGATTATTTATAAATTGTAATGCAATACATTCAGATCTTCTTTTAATCTTTAAAAGATTAAATTCATTTCTACTAACAGTAAATCAGTAAATCCTAAGAATGTTGCCGCTTGTTTCTAGTAGTGCCTCTTCGTAGTGCAAAAGCAGGAATTATATCGTTAGACAATAGAGAACAGTGGAGAACAAGTATCCACGGACAGACCTCGAGCACTCTCAGTGTATGAGTCTTCTGTCACAAAACATCCCAGTTAATGTTTTCTGAAAGAAAAACAAAACATCAGATCGGCAGTTCCCGAGAGCTCTCTCAATGCGTTCTTGCGTTGTCTCATCGCCATAAACCACACTGGAACTCGAAGGAGTTATATGATAAACCACAAATTCAAACAGAAGATAAGCGAGTCGGGTCAAACCCACACACGGCTATTCATCCATCCATTTTCTAACCGGTTCTTCCAGTTCAGGGCTGTGGGGGAGCTGGAGTGTATCCCAGCAAGCAACGGGAGCAAGGCAGGATTCACCCTGGACAGGACGCCAGCCCATCGCAATGCAGACACACAGACACACACTCACACTCACACCGAGGGCCAATTTTCCTAGAAGCCAATTAACCTTCCAGTATGGTCTTTGGACTGTAGGAGGAAACCTATGCAAACATGAGGGGAACATACAAACTCCACGCAGACAGCCCACTCAGATCTGGCATTGAACCCAGGGCCAAAGCGCTGCATGGCAATGAAGTACGGGCAAAGCTCATGCACCAACTTGAATCTAAGACACACCCACAAACATGTGTTGGATTCGTTATGAAATGATCCATCCAAATGCGGAATTAGACCACAAACGTCTTACACTATGCATGTCTGTTTTTGTTCAAGCATCCCGCCAGTCAAAGGACTCCACCGTGGGGTACTGAAGGAGCTCAAGGGGTTTGTTCACTGCACTGTGTTCTCAGTGTTGCGGTCTTCTCCCCTAGCAAGGTGCTGAGCCCCGTAGTGTTGCAAAAACTGTGATTACCTTCTCCGTCGCTGGAGATAGCGACGCACGAGCCACTGGACGATGAAAGGCCAGACTACCGCGAGCGCGAGTGTGCCAGGAGAGATGTCAAAAGGCCACCAGGAAGGCTTCTGGAAGAACAGCACCCCGGTTAGCCCCCAGAGAGAAGCCACCCAGGTACCGTACATCTCCACCCTGGGCGAGCGCCAGCAGACGCGCACACACCTCAGATGTGAGCAAGCGGGTTCGGGAAACAGCCGAGATTGAAAACAGCTTCCACGGTTACAAGAGTAATTCTGATGGCCTTCATTTTGTTTCCTTGTATTTAATGCTAATTTAAACTCACACAGTGGAACAATTTAACTGATTTTACACATATGGTAAAAATAAACCGACAAAGATAGGAACACACCTGTAGTGCTCTACACTAACAATAAAACAACCTTTATTTATAAACTACAGGAAAAGAACTACATATGTAAAGAGCAAAGCGTTTAATTTAAAGCTAATGGTTAACAATGCTAATATAGGTTAATAAATGCTACAGTAAATACACACTTTGTGCTGAATTTTGAAAACATAAAAGGATCCATTGTGTTTAAATGGACTTCCAGTTCATAATGCAGCCCAGGTCTATTTTCAGATACAAAGTTCGCTGGCAGTATGCTACAAAATCGCATTCCAATAAATTAAGATTATTAGCCTGAAACAAAGAAGCCATTAAGAGATCTGAAGTACAGAAGGTCTGATGTCTTACCTTGTTAACTGGAGGAGGTGGGTAATTAGCTTGTAAAGACAATGATCTTGCCTGAAAAGCACAGAACAGATAAACCCAATAAATGGAGAAACACAAAGTCAGCAAAGCGACATGTTTGAAACCTAAAAAGGCACAAACTCTGCTCAAGAAGCATGTGCGTGATCCCAGTGGGTGCTGTGTGCCTTAGATCATGTTAGATCACAAGCTGGTATTCCCTGTGTGCCCACAGGTAAGAAAGCAGCCACCTGCTTGTTTGGCTAACCTCAACGTGCACAGTGTATGTTGAGCTCAGGGACCACATTCTCCAGGGACTCTTAATGGAACTGCTGGTTAAGAGAAAAGGCTTTACTGAACTAAAGCAAAAGAAACGATACTGTGTTAAAGGGCAATACGTGTTGCATTTAACTGTGGATGATATATGCTCGAGAAGAAGTACTTCAATTCAAGATCTAACAATCAGTACAACTTTCTGTCGTATTGCTGTTTGTTATGATAAGGCTTGCAGCATAAAGATTATTTCTCACTCAAACAGATCAAACATCACGACTGCAGGAAACAAGCTTTTCACTGCTCTTCCGGCAATATACAAGAGACACGCCACACCCTTGAAACCAACAGCAGTCCATAAAACATCTTAAAAAGACAGGGCTACAAAAGAACACAAACTTTCCAGTGCTGGAATATTTACCATAACAAAATAAAAGCCCTGTTATGTAAAAGACTTCAGAATGTGTGATGCTACAGTATGTTTCTTGGAACCTTGCAAATTATTTGTTAAATTTGTTAAAAGTGTTTAAAACATTTTATAAATCTTGTATCCTCCTGTTATTATTAAACTCACTTTAATGTGTCTGAAAGCAATTAAGTCTTAGCCCAGAAATATTATTTTTATTTAGATTAATAAGAAGCAAATGTAGCCCCCCACAATCCTTTGTCAATGAAGGCCCCCTCCCTCTCTTTGAAAAAGGATACACGACAAAAAAATTTCAAGCACGTTTTCAGTGGCTTTTAATTCCAGTGGCAGCAGTCATGTGATTCCATAATTTAAAGCCCGCATTTCAGAAAACGTTTGCAGGACTAGAGATTAATCGTGATTTGAGCTACACAATCACAAAAAATGGTCTTCAATTACAATTATTGTAGGAGTTCAGCCAAATAATAACTTGACAATATGGCAAAGAATCTGATTGTGATTTCTGTGTCAGTGCTGGTTCCAAATTAATCAAAAGCAGCGTCCACTTAATTCTGTTCACAGGCTCAGTGTATGCTACAATGGCCAGGATGCATACCTACCTTCTCCATCTTGAACTCAACTTTGCAAACTCATCTCTTTTTCTTTCCTTCTTCTGTGCCCCTCTCTATTTTTCTTTCTCTTATCTCCACACCCACTCCCCCCTCTTCCTCTGCTATGAACCCGTCTGTCTCTGTTCCTCGTGACCCTTCCTTCTCCTGCTCCCACCAGACTTCTTCTGTGCTGGAGTACAAAATGTCCTGCCCAGACTACTGTTACGCCCTCCTGGCTGACCTCCCTGCTACAGCCTAGAGCACGTCCACACCCTACGTCTCTAGAACTCTGCAAGCTTGCCTTGTTTCTTTCTCTTCCTTTCTTTTTCTCGACTTGCTTCGTTAATCCAGTTCTTCCTCAGGCTCCCTACTGCCTCGTGACTTTAAACCCAAGTCTTTGACTACACTGGTCTCTTCCTCGGCTCTCCCTAGACCTCATCCATTCTCTCTGCCTCTCCTCTTCCACTCTTCCACCAGGCTCTTTGTCCCTCTTCTCTGGTCTCCTCCTTCCAGAACCTTCTCATCCTCCACCCTCGCTCCATGGTGGTGGAATGAACCACCCACACAAATCACAGCAGGCTCTGTCCCGGACCACTTTTCCGCCTCTGCTCGAGATTTCAGCTCTTTGGAGCGCCCCCTGTGTGATGTTCATGCTTTCAGTTACCGCATCATCCAGGTGGGGCTGCGCACTGGTGGTGGTGGAGGGGGATCCCCATTACCCAAAAAGCGCTTTGAACCCCGTGGCCAGAAAAGCGCTACAGAAGTGTAAAGAATCACTCTTATTACCTGAGAGGCCGCGAGTGCCTCCAGCGTGTGCAATCTCTGCAGGACGCTCTGCATGTCTTCCTGCAGCTTGTTGAGAGTGGCTGCGATCTGCTCATTCAAGCTGCTTCGGGTGTTGCTGTCTGTCCCCCACCGCTCCCCGTCCCCTCCGCCGCCCTGCAGGCCTCCCTGGGCCCCTCCTCCTGCTGCTGGCAGCCTGAAACCTGATCCCAGAACAGCCGTCACCGACGGGCCGGCCCGGCAACACGGGCCGCGCAGATTCCGATGGCGGGGAATCTCAACTCAATGAACACTAGTGTTGCCAAAGTAAGAGCTCATGGGAATGGGTGGAACCTCCTAGCTATTGCTTCATTTAGGATTCAAGTGGCACTCAAAACCTGTCTCGGAAAGGTTCTCCCATTGTGTGCGTGAACATCAAAAATATGTCTGTTTCATTTCAATATCTTTGTGTACCAAAAAGGAGCAGCTTACTTGCTCTCCTGTGATGATTAATTCAGGATTCACCAAGAAACATTTTTCCATGCTCTTCAGATAAGAGAAACCGAGGAGGAACCAAAAAATATACTGGCACTCAACTAATACACAAATCCGAGCCTCTTGTTTGAAATACTATTATAGCGAATTTTGGAGTATGAATCTTATTGTGTAAAAAAAATACGAGACTTTTTGGAAAAAGAGATTCATATTAAAATATCTATATTTGAGATCATTCTCCTGTGAGCTCCACGAACAACACTCGCTAAACTGATTTTCTATTGGTTTTCAAGATGTTTCTAGGTTTATTAAAATTTATATAAAAAATAAAATTGTGTTAACACAGCACCTAATCAGTTAAACTGATTAGAATACAATTGCTCCGCGTTTTGCATTTATCAGGGATTGTTTTCAGATTCACCAGGCAAGAGTAGCAGAGCAAAATGCAAAACAGAAACTAGAAATTGTTGACTTCGGACATCAATTAACCTTAACAGCCCCTCAGCCCTCAGAGAAAACCTTCATGAGCACGAGGAGAACATGCGACAGCATCACTCTTCCATCTGCAAACACCATCCGTAAATACCACCTCTATTAAAATACATTCGATTCGAGCTTCATCCTCACAGCCCAATACATTACCAACAGAAGACATCACAATCGTGTTACAGGAGATACTCATCATATATACATACATCTGCACATTGGTGGTGGTGGAGGGGAGACCCCATTACCTGTAAAGCGCTTTGAGTGGAGTGTCCAGAAAAGCGCTATATAAGTGTAAGCAATTATTATTATTATTATTATATATGACATGTATGGCCGTTTGCAATCTGTCATTTTACAAAGTCAATAAATTAAAGGAATAATGAACTGTACCTCTTCCTTTCCTGGGTCCTGAAGTGTCAGAGCGTTCGGCACTCAATCTGTCCCTCTGCGGTGGGTTTCCACCGTCTTTCCCATCCTCCCCCCCGTGTCTGACACCCTCAGCGCCTTCCTGCAGACAGCCCCTTTGGGGCTCCCCTCCCAGCACCGGCTCTGTCCTCGCAAGGAAGGGAGCGTGACTCCATTCACCAGTCTCCAGGGAGAGGTTCACGAGAACCTCGGGGTTCTGGAAAAATAACAACAGACGAGATAAAAAAGAAATCCGATTGTATTTTTTATATCCAGTGTTAGGTGATTAGTGGTGTTGCTGACCCCAGTTTGTCCACTACTTCTTCAGCCCGCAGGTGAGCAATGAGAACTGATTGACTAATCAAGTTTTCCCAATTACGTTTTCAATGGTAGGTTTTCCGAACATCAGACGTGTCTGCTGAGGGATGGTGAGGCACTTTTACCACACACACACAAAATTATGTGCCACTCTGTAGACACTTTACTGAACTGAGTCTCACGAATATTATTGTGGATATGATTATTGGTATTCAGACCTCTATTACCAGTAAAACGTCCCATTTTCGAATAAACATGCTGTGTATCTTACCTCTTCTTGACCAAACTGCTCCATAGAATCGCAGTACACCTCACTGTCCGAGTCACTTGGCAGGTGATGCAAGCTAGACACATCCTCACTGTGATCTGAGGAGTACAGCACAATATTATAAAGAGAACATGAACATCCACTCAGCTCTGTTCAAATTATAAAAGAAATCTGTTAGAGAGAAAAAAGATTTAAAGTCACATTTAAAATATCTTTAATATTTTATTTGATACTACATACAACATACTATGTGATGTTACTAAATAGTCTGAGTAACAGGCGAGTGTAGCCATAGCATGGAGGCACTCTGGAATATTATAATCTACAATATAGGACAAGGATGATTATATAACAGGGAAAAATAATCAAATGAAATTTTTTTGAAAACCAAACTCCAAGCTAATTATCAGATCTCTCCTTTGTATGGTCTCAGGTATTTTCATTTTTTCCCCCAACTAGAAAAAAACTCTCATACTCTGAAGATCAAATTTTAAACGCATCAGTTTTTAACAGGACCAGAGACTAGAATACAGTAATGAGAGAAAATGGTCCCCTTTTTAGAGCACAGTTCACTACATCCTATGTTGACGGTAAGGATGTTCAGTAAAGGTAATTCCACAGAGTATTAAAAATGTCTTGTTTCAATTAAGATATCTAACCCTATCCTTGAAGCTCACAGAAATTATAACAGAGGAGTTGGATGAGTACAACCGATTGCATTCAGGTGGCTTACCCTGGAGGTGACCATTAACCCTGTGGTGCTGGTTTGACTCCAGTTTCTGGGTTGTGCCGGTCAGCTTCTCTTCAGAGTCCTCAGCGCTCAACGGGGTCTTCTGACCATCGATCTCCTTCACCGCAGACGGGACATCATGTTCCATGTCGGCACGCAAGACATTCTCCTTTCCCGAAGCCCCCTCGGTCGTTTTCCTCTGGTCCGAAACGCCTTTCACCGAGTCTGAGTGAAATCGAAAGGAAGATCGCGCACGTAAGTGTTAAATGGAAAAGTCGATGCTTATCTTCTTGGTAAGCTAAAGGGTTTTTGTGATAAACACTGCTTGTTTTTTCAAGGTTTCGGAAATTCTAATAATCACTGAATAACTAATACGTAAACCGAAATTAAATTAAATCTCTTTTGAGAAATGTTCCCATACATTTTTCAGTAAAACCTAATCTCTAGTTTCCATTTTAAAGCAGAGAGAGAATATCACTGAAGGATCCCATCTTTGAATGCTTTAGTTTGTTGGTATTGAACACTGTTTCTTTTTTCAGTAACTGCAGTTTTGGGACATTCCAATACAAGGAATATTAGTTTATATTATCTCCTACACCGGGTATACTTTAAGAACCATACAATCTTGGATTTGATTTGTAATGTTCC